TGACTTGGTCTCTTCTTATACAACACTTTGGGTAATTCCCCATTCTCTCAAGGGTTCAGTTACCATCTGTGTACTTGCAACTTACTCCCCACTCTTCTAGCAATTCCCCTTGCCTGTCCACTCCCCAAACTTAAGCATCCACTGGATTCCACAAGCTCAGCATGCCCAAAATTGAATTTAGCTGCTTACCACCCCAGAGTCTGCCTCTCTACCTGGGTTGACGTCCTATGGAAGGCCACCACAGTCTGCCCAGTTATCCAACCAGAACGCTGGCATCATCCTTTGACCCCTTCCTTCTGCTTACCACCCACGTGCAGTCACTCGGCAACACCTATCAGTCCTCACTCTGCAGTATCAGGAGTGCAGCCCCTTCTCTCACAGTACCTCTCCTGATTCAGCCACTGTGTTTTTTTGGTTTACAGGTTTTATTTATTTATTTTTTTTGCATAAAGTTGTGGCCCCAAACAGGTCTCTTTGCCTCCCATCATGTACCCATTCAATCCAATTTCCCCACACACACCACAGCTAGAGGAATCAGTTTAAAATATAAATCTGCTCTTGCTGATTTCTGTTAAAACCCTTCCGTGCTAATAATAATAATGCTAAAGGAAATAAACGTCCATGGATTCCCTGGTGCACAAAGTCCTTAACTTTCACTTTGCAGATTTCCTGGCACACAGTAGGCACTCAATCGTTATTTGATGAATAATGCAATGAATGAATGGAATTTTTATCTAACACCACCATTTCAAAGGGAAGTTAAATTATTAGAAAAGTAGACACTTTAAAACACAACTTTAAGATGTTTCATCAACCATGGTTAATTCAAAGCCCTTCATGCCTAGAGGCATACTCCCCTCCCACCAAGAAAATAGTACCTGGTCTTCAAGTTTCTTTTATGAAGTCAGTGTTTTTTAACCTTTTTAAATCCCTACATCCCACCCACAAGTGAGTCATTCTGCCAGTGTAATAATGTCTACAAAATCCTATAATATTTCCTGGAAATACTAGTCACCATTATGTTGAAACTTCACTGAAATTCTCCATACGGATAATTCGTCTAAAGTACTAAAGCTTAGTTTCCTGCATAGAATATAAGAGTTAAATTAATTTGTTAAAGAAAATAAACTGTTCTAAGATTTCAGAACAATAATGCATTCATGCAACAAACACTCATGCACCTATTATGTATCTAGCACCACACAAAGCACTGATGATATAGAAAGCTTTTTAAATATTGATTAGTTCCTCCTTCAATAATTTAACAGTCTGTTTTGAGCCAGAGATTGAAACATGTGACAGATCTATAATGAAACAGTTGCTAATATTTCCGAATATGCTACTATGGGTACATGGAGAGAAATAAGAGAAAAAAAGACCAATTCTTCCAAAAGAGAGCTCACAGATAAAAAGATATTTCAACTAAATCCTGAAAATGTAACCCAGAGTTCATTAAGAAGAGAGATAGGAAGGGCATCTCAAGGAGAAAGAACAGCATGTGCAAAGGCCTAAGGGCAGAATGAATATGGTAGGTTCCAATATGGCAGAAGGGTGAGCTGAAAAGTGAACATAGAGGTAGTCGAGTGGCAGAATGCAAGGCTGGAAATGGGCACAGGATACCTACTGCCAGCCATGGTTGAGCCAAAGACAAATTCACGCGTTTCTGTCACACAAAAGGAAGCACCCAGCCACCCAAACCAGCTCTCAAGGTTACCCAATCAAAAGAGATCCTGAGAACTGAATTTCTGCAAAATCCAAGCTCTTGTCTGCTGAGTGAGATCATTCCTTAAAGGAAGAAACTCACCACTTGAGACAAAAGTGAACTCTTTGTTGTGGTGCTATGTGGTCTTGGCAGAGGTTTGTTTTCCGGTCTTCTCTGCTCCTCATTATATGTGATGCTGATAAAGAACAAAGAGTTACTTCTTTTTCCAGGCTTTTGGCCCTCACTCCATGAAATGCCGTGAGTATAGGTCTCCTGAGTATCTTTTCCTCATTACACGGCTCTCACCCTGATCACATTTCCTTGGTACTGCCAAAAACCTTTTGATCATAGCTGTTTCTTCGTTTAGAGAAATAACACTGACCTAAGAACTATGATGTAGAAAAGCAGTTTTCAAACCTTTTGGTCTCAGGGCCACCTTACACCCTTAAAAATTATGAGGATACCAAAGAGCTTTTATGTGGGTGATAGCCTATATTTCACATATTAGGAATTAAAATTGAGAAAAGTTTAAAATATTTATTAATTCTTACCAGTTAAGAAAAAAATTGCATGTTAACATCAATTTTTAACATAAATAATTACAAAAAATAATTATATTTTCTACAAATAATTTAGTGAGAAAAGTGGAATTGTTTTACCTTTTTTTTTTTAATCCTTAATGTCTGGCTTAATAGAAGATAAGTTGGAGTCACACATCTGCTTCTGAATTCAATATGTGGTGACATCACAGTCATGTAACATTTAGAAAACTCTACACATGTGAGAGAATGAAAGTGAAAAAGGCAAATAATGTCTTATGATGATGATGAAAATAATTTTAACATCATAGATCTTCAGAAAGGGTCTCCGAGACTCCCTAGTGGTTTCCAACCCACATCTGAGATCCTCTGATTTAGAAGTTTTAAAATACAGCCAGGCACAGTGGCTCATGCATGTAATCCTAGCACTTTGGGAGGCCCAGGCAGGCAGATCACCTGAGGTCGGGAGTTCGAGACCAGCCTGACCAACATGGAGAAACCTCGTCTCTACTAAAAATAGAAAATTAGCCGGGCGTGATGGTGCATGCCTGTAATCCCAGCTACTCGGGAGGCTGAGGCAGGAGAATCGTTTGAACCCGGGAGGTGGAGGTTGCGGTGAGCCGAGATTGCACCATTGCACTCCAGTCTGGGCAACAAGAGCAAAACTCCGTCTCAAATGAAAAAAAAAAAAAAAGAAGAAGTTGTTTTAAAATACTATATTGAAAGACAGGAGTTTATTAAAGGTCTATAAAAGTTAGCAGAGATGATAGGTTGATGAGTGCAGCAAGCCACCATGGCACATGTATACCTATGTAACAAACCTGCACATTCAGCACATGTATCCCAGAACTTAAAGAAAAATAAAGTAAAATAAAATAAATAAAAGTTAGCAGATAGAATGTTAAGGCAGAGGCCAATGTGATAATAATAGCTTCTTGTAAAACAAGTGTGACCACTATTTGAGAGAGTGGAGAATTAAGGTAAACATGACTTATTTTTTAAACATTCAAAAATTTCTTCCCTTCAAAGAAAAACAAATTCAAGGTTTATCTTTTTTTCCCCTCAGTTTAACCAGAAAACAGAATACTAAAGAGCTAGAAAATGAACCACCTAGAAAGCAACTTAAGAAGAAAAGAAAGACACCTGAGGTCCATGCTTGCTAGTTCTGTGACCTTGGGCAAGCCACAATCTTTCCATTCTCAGTTTCTGGACCTAAAAAAAGGCCTTCCTCTTCCTCATACATGTGGATGATTTGAGATATGCAATGTGAATGTTGGCTTCCAGACTCTAATGCCCTCCACAAATGTTATTTATTAGGATGATGATATTATTATGATTCTAAGACTGCTCGAGGGACAAATAAACCTTCCCTTCTCTTTAAGTGGAGAGATTGCCCTCCATTCTTCCCTCATTTGTGTGTCCCAAAGTCCTTCTCCAATTAAGTTCTTGCAAGCAGGCTCTGGGAAGGCCCCAGATGAGCTGTGTAATCTAAGCTTTGAGATTCCCAAGGCTCAACAGAATTACTCTAATACATTTACTATCAGACTAGCCCTTTATGCAAACCTCTAAAGGAAGAGAAACACTGGCAAAAACATATTCAGGGAAAAGCATAAACAGGCCTCAACTTCCCTCTCCCCCTCCCTCCAAGGAAATTCTCTAGCAATATTAAGCCAAGAAGAATTACTGCAGCAAAGAGTGAATGTAAATAAGGATGGCCCAGCTGCCACTTAAGCAACTTCCATGGACGTGTCCTCCGTGAAGTCCCAGGCTTCAGCAAGCATGATTGATGGTGAAGTACATTTTCATTAGTTCAGGTTCCCAACACACTTCTGAAGTTGTAGACTGCTGTTTAGACAAAGATTGGAAGTGAATTACACGTCTGACATAAAACCATGACCTAGAAAAGAACTAAAGGGTAGGAAATGTCAGTGGAAAGTCACAGAAAGAAAAAAACAACCAGAAGTAACTTGGCTAAATTGGGCAACATGAGTATAAGATTAAACATTGGCATGTTTAGAAATCCCCAGTCCCAAGTTAATAAAACCAGGGTCGTGAGAATTCTCTATACTTTACCATCTGTGCTTATCAACTCACCCATCCTCCTTCCAGCACTAGAAAAACATTGTTTGGAGGGGGGAAAATGATTCTTCAGCAGTAAAACATTTGAATTTTACCTCAAGTAAGACTTCATTTCAAAATCTGGAGAGAATTTTTTTTTTTTTTTCTTTGAGACGGAGTCTTGCTCTGTCGCCCAGGCTGGAGTGCAGTGGCGCGATCTTGGCTTACTGCAAGCTCCGCCTCCCGGGTTCACGTCATTCTCCTGCCTCAGCCTCCCCAGTAGCTGGGAGTACAGGCACCCGCCACCACGCCCGCTAGTTCTTTTTTGTGTTGTTAATAGAGACGGGGTTTCACCGTGTCAGCCAGGATGGTCTCTATCTCCTGACCTCATGATCCGCCCACCTCTGCCTCCCAAAGTGCTGGGATTACAGGCGTGAGCCACCGCTCCCGGCGGAGAGAAATTTTAACTCTTAATTTGCTCTAGGATATTCTGATTTAAGTCAAGTCATTTTGGACAAATAGCCAATTTGTCGTATTCATCAGATGAAACAATTTCATCTCCCTTTCCGTATGTATAAAATAAGTCTTCTACTCAAATAATAACTAAAATGTTAATAAATAATAAAATATTCACTTTTAAATAAAATATTAATGTGATTTTACAATAAATGTCTGTATTTGTCCTTTTCCTTTCTGTCTAGCTTTGAAGGCCTCACCTTCTAAGAAACGGTGCAATTCCATCGCCGCCTTAAAGGCGACTTCACAGGAGATCGTATCCTCAGTTAGCCAGGAATGGAAGGATGAGAAGCGAGATTTGCTGACCGAAGGACAAAGTTTTAGCAGCCTTGATGAAGAAGGTAAAGATGCGTAACTTTTTTAAAAAGACAAAGTTCTTGTGATTTATTTATACAAGTAAATTTGCAGAAGAAAATTTTAAAATACCTGTTCTAAGAAATAAAATCTATTAAGTTTTTAAAGGATAGCTACAGTGGCCAGGCGTAGTGGCCCACGCCTGTAATCCCAGCACTTTGGGAGGCTGAGTCAGGCAGATCACTTGAGGTCAGGAGTGTGAAACCAGCCTGGCCAATGTGGCGAAACCCTGTCTTTACTAAAAATACAAAAAAATTAGCCAGGCATGGTAGCGGGCGCCTGTAATTCTAACTACTCAGGAAACTGAGGCATGAGAATCACTTGAACCCGGGAGGTGAAGGCTGCAGTGAACTGAGATTGCACCACTGCACTCCAGCCTGGGCGACAGAGCGAGACTCTGTCTCAAATAAATAAATAAATAAATAAATAAATAGGATAGCTACAGTAAGATGCGGTTCATGCAAGTTTTAACTACCACATAAAAAAATACAATTTATGGTTTATGATAAAAATTAGACAATACTAATTCAAAAAGAAAAATGTCTACTTTCACTACATGATGGTAACAAATACTAACATTTTGTTGCTTTTACTTCTAGACCTTATTCTGTGCATGTACACATACACACATGCACAGGTACACGTGCACACACATACATGCAATGTAACAACAAGTTGTCTCTTCATTTAGGTTTCTTTACTGATTTTTTTTTTGGGTACCCACTGGTAATACTCGGGAGGTACTACATGTTTTTTACTTTGAAAGCTTCATAACCATGAGCAGGTACCAAGAGAAGGAAAGAAAAGAGGCAGAAAGGAAAAATATGGAATGTTTCATGAATTTGCATGTCATCCTTGCACAGGGGCCATACTAATCTTCTCTGTATCGTTCCAATTTTAGTATATGTGCTGCCAAAGTGAGTGCTTTAATGAATTTAAATAAAGTTTTATAGTATTTTTCTTGTGTGGCTTGTACATATACCTTTTGTTAGATTTATTTCTTGGATAAATGCAGAGATATTGATATAGATTTTTTTTCTGGATTTTTAAAAACAGTACGTTTTTTAAGAATTGAGTTTTCTGGCCATTTGTTGCTATTGTATGGACTTCACATCCTTTTTGTCTTTTTTTCTTTCTTACTTGCTGGCTAGGACTTCTGGTACAATAATGAATAGAAACAGTGATTGTAGACAGCCTTGCCTTGTCCTGATTTTAAAGGGAATGCTTCTAATGTTTCACTATTTGAAAAAGAAGTTTGCTGTATTTGATACCCATAATCAAGCCAAGGAAGTTCCTTTTTTTATTCCTACTTTGCTGAAAGTTTTTTTTTTTTTTTTTAATCAGGAATGAGTACTGAATTTTATCAAATACTTTTCTCTATGTGCCAAGTTGATCATTTATTTTTTCCCTTCTAATCAAATATGGGAGAATGACATTTTAGATTTTTCTATCAGTATATTCTTTGGAGAATCTCAGCATTTCCTGAAAATGTCTTTTACTTTCTACAGGAGTTAAGACCTCCTCTAGGGGTTTTCTTTTCCTCAGTGTCTTTAGGATGCAGTGTTATTTCTATTCCTTTTTCAGCAGCACTTATCCATACGTGCTATGTTTGGTTTCTTTCTTTCTCATCTTCCCATAAACCAACTTTTACGCGGAGTTAGTGATTTCGGCAAGAGAGTTACAGAGGTGCCGTTGATCCTCTCTGAACTGATGTCTCCGATTCCTGGTAGACACTCACCCGTTTCTCCTAAGCTCCCTGGCACTGGCATCTCCCTCCCTAGACTACCTGATTTTCTGATAGCACATGCAAAACCGCAGGTGTCTGTAGTCTGGGAAATAGGATAAACGTATTTTAAAATTATATTAGTTAAGCTTTCAAGTAGTATGCTCAATGTGACCTCTAAAGTTAAAGCGATGGATCCAGTTGTTAATTTGGAAAAAAAAAAAAGGTAAATGTATAATAAATATACTATACAGCATCTAGAAAGGCTGGAAACATGGGAAGTAGGGCGTATATTGTATTTTTTTCAAATGAAGTATTTGACTCATTGCCTCAAATTTAGAGACACAACACCTTCAAAGGTCTCCGAAGGTCAAAGAAAATCCTATTGAGCATAGTCTTTGAAAACGTAACATAATGTTATACAATGAGTTTATCTTTGCTATCCTCTTCATGCACAATGTTTCGTCTCTAAATAATGCTCTGTACTTGGGGAACTTCCCCCTGCACCAAATCATCACTGAATTTCCCTCTAGTTTTTAAGTTTGTTTTCTGCCATTCTCAGTATGTTCAGGTTATATTTTCTATTGCCATGTAACAAATTACCAGAAACTTAGCAGCTTAAAATAATACCCAGTTAGTAGCCGATGGTTCTGTAAGTCAGAAGATTGGGTACAACTCACACAGGTTCTCTGCTCAGGGTCTCAAAAGCTGAAATGAAGGTGTCAGCAAGACTGAGTTTTTTTGTTTTTTCTTTCTCTCAGAAATAAGCTTTTTATTTTATTTTTTTATTATACTTTAAGTTCTGGGGTACATGTGTAGAATGTGCAGTTTTGTTACAGAGGTATACACGTACCATAGTGCTTTGCTGCACCCACCAACCCGTCACCTACATTAGGTATTACTCGTAATGCTGTCCCTCCCCTTGCCCCCCACCCCCTGACAGGCCCAGGTATGTGATGTTCCCCTCCCTATGTCCGTGTGTTCTCATTGTTCAGCTCCCACTTATGAATGAGAACATACAGTGTTTGGTTTTCTGTTCTTCTGATAGTTTGCTCAGAATGATCGTTTCCAGCTTCATCCATGTCCCTACAAAGGACGTGAGCTCATCCTTTTTTATGGCTGCATAGTATTCCATGGTGTATATGTGCCACATTTGATTTATCCAGTCTATTATTGATGGACATTTGGGTTGATTCCAAGTCTTTGCTATTGTGAATAGTGTTGCAGTAAACATACATGTGCATGTGTCTTTATAGTAGAATGATTTATAATCCTTTCAGTATATACCCAGTAATAGGATTACTGGGCCAAATGGTATTTCTAGTTCTAGATCCTTGAGGAATCGCCACACTTCCACAATGGTTGAACTAGTTTACGCTCCCACCAACAGTGTAAAAGCATCCCTGTTTCTCCACATCCTCTCCAGCATCTGTTGTTTCCTGACTTTTTAATGATCACCATTCTAACTGGTGTGAGATGGTATTTCATTGTGGGTTTGATTTGCATTTCTCTAATGACTAGTGATGATGAGTATTTTTTCATATGTCTGTTGGCTGTGTAAATGTCTTCTTTTGAGAAGTGTCTGTTCGTATTCTTTGCCTACTTTTTCATGGGGTTTTTTTTCTTGTAAATCTTTTTAAGTTCTTTGTAGATTCTGGATATTAGCTCTTTGTCAGATGGATAGATTGCAAACATTTTCTCCCATTCTGTAGGTTGCCTATTCACTCTGATGATTGTTTCTTTTGCTGTGCAGAAGCTCTTTAGTTTAAATAGATTCCATTTGTCAATTTTGGCTTTTGCTGCCATTGCTTTTGGTGTTTTAGTCATGAAGTCTTTGCCCATGCCTATGTCCTGAATGGTATTGCCCAGGTTTTCTTCTAGGATTTTTATGGTCCTAGGTCTTACGTTTAAGTCTTTGATCAATCCATCTTGAGTTAATTTTCGTATAAGTTGTAAGGAAGGGGTCCAGTTTCAGTTTTCTGCATATGGCTAGCCAGTTTTCCCAACACCATTTATTAAACAGGAAATCTTTTCTCCATTGCTTGTGTCAGGATGGTTGTAGATCAGATGGTTGTAGACGTGTGGTGTTGTTTCTGAGGCCTCTGTTCTGTTCCATTGGTCTATATATCTGTTTTGGTACCAGTACCATGCTGTTTTGGTTACTGTAGCCTTGTAGTATAGTTTGAAGTCAGGTAGTGTGACGCCTCCAGCTTTGTTCTTTTTGCCCAGGATTTTCTTGGCTATGTAGGCTCTTTTTTGGTTCCATATGAAGTTTAAAGTAGTTTTTTCCACTTCTGTGAAGAAAGTCAGTGGTAGCTTGATGGGTGTAGCATTGAATCTATAAATTACTTTGGGCACTATGGCCATTTTCACAATATTGATTCTTCCTATCCATGAGCATGGAATGTTTTTCCATTTGTTTGTGTCCTCTTTTATTTCCTTGGGCAGTGGTTTGTCGTTCTCCTTAAGAGGTCCTTCACATCCCTTGTAAGTTGGATTCCTAGGTATTTTATTCTGTTTGTAGCAATTTGTGAATGGCAGTTCACTCATGATTTGGCTTTCTGTTTGTCTGTTATTGGTGTATAAGAATGCTTGTGATTTTTGCACATTGATTTTGTATCCTGAGACTTTGCTGAAGTTGCTTATCAGCTTAAGGAGATTTGCGTCTGAGATGATGGGGTTTTCTAAACATACAATCATGTCGTCTGCAAATAGAGACAATTTGACTTCCTCTCTTTCTATTTGAATACACTTTATTTCTTTCTCTTGCCTGATTGTCCTGGCCAGAACTTCCAATACTGTGTTGAATAGGAGTGGTGAGAGAGGGCATCCTTGTCTTGTGCTGGTTTTCAAAAGGAGTGCTTCCAGTGTTTGCCTATTCAGTATGATATTGGCTGTTGGTTTGTCATAAATAGCTCTTATTATTTTGAGATAACGTTCCATTGGTCCCTACTTTATTGAGAGTTTTTAGCATGAAGGGGTGTTGAATTTTGTCAAAGGCCTTTTCTGCATCTATTGAGATAATCATGTGGTTTTTGTCTTAGGTTCTGTTTATGTGATGGATTACATTTATTGATTTGCATATGTTGAACCAGACTTGCATCCCAGGGATGAAACTGACTTGATCGTAATGGATAAGCTTTTTGATGGGCTGCTGGATTTGGTTTGCCAGTATTTCAATGAGGATTTTCACATTGATGTTCATCAGAGATATTGGCCTGAGATTTTCTTTTTTTGTTGTGTCTCTGCCAGATTTTGGTATCAGGGTGATGCTGGCCTCATAAAATGAGTTAGGGAGGATTCTCTCTTTTTCTGTTGTTTGGAATAGTTTCAGAAGGAATGGTACCAGCTCCTCTTTGTATCTTTGGTAGAATTCAGCTGTGAATCTGTCTGGTCCTGGACTTTTGCTGGTTGGTAGCTTATTAATTTCTGCCTCAATTTCAGAACTTGTTGTTTTATTCAGGGATTCGACTTCTTCCTGGTTTAGACTTGGGAGGGTGTACGTGTCCAGGAATTTATCCATTCCTTCTAGATTTTCTAGTTTATTCACTTAGAAGTGTTCATGGTATTCTCTGATGGTAGTTTGTATTTCTGTGGGATCAGTTGTGGTATCCCCTATATCATTTTTTATTGCATCTGTTTGATTCTTCTCTCTTTTCTTCTTTATTAGTCTGGCTAGAGGTCTATCTGTTTTGTTGACCTTTTCAAAAAACCAGCTCCTGGATGCATTGATTTTTTTGAAGGGTTTTTCGTGTATCTATCTCCTTCGGTTCTGCTCTGATCTTAGTTATTTTTTGTCTTCTGCTAGCTTTTGAATTTGTTTGCTCTGGCTTCTCTAGTTCTTTTAATTGTGATATTAGGGTGTCAATTTTATATCTTTCCTGCTTTCTCTTGTGGGCATTTAGTGCTATAAATTTCCCTCTACACACTGCTTTACATGTGCCCCAGAGATTCTGGTATGTTATGTCTTTATTCTCATGATTTCAAAGAACATCTTTATTTCTTCCTTCATTTTGTTATTTACCCAGTAGTCATTCAGGAGCAGATTGTTCAGTTTCCATGTAGTTGTGCAGTTTTGAATGAGTTTCTTAATCCTGAGTTCTAATTTGATTGCACTGTGGTCTGAGAGACTGTTATGATTTCCAGTCTTTTGTATTTGCTCAGGAGTGTTTTACTTCCAATTCTGTGATCAATTTTAGAATAAGTGCAGTGAGGTGCTGAGAAGAATGTATATTCTGTTGACTTGGGGTGGAGAGTTCTGTAGATGTCTATTAGGTCCACTTGGTCCAGAGCTGAGTTCAAGTCCTGAATATCCTTGTTAATTTTTTGTCTCATTGATCTGTCTAGTATTGACAGTGGTGTGCTAAAGTCTCCTGCTATTATTGTGTGGGAGTCTAAGTGTCTTTGTAAGTCTCTCAGAACTTGCTTTATGAATCTGGGTGCTCCTGTATTGGGTGCATATATATTTAGGATAGTTAGCTCTTCTTGCTGCATTGATCCCTTTCCCATTATGTAATGCCCTTCTTTGTCTCTTTTGATCTTTGTTGGTTTAAAGTCTGTTTTATCAGATTTTAGGATTGCAACTCCTCCTTTTTTTGCTTTCCATTTGCTTGGTAAATATTCCTCCATTTCTTTATTTTGAGTCTTTGCACATGAGATGGTTCTCCTGAATACAGCACACTGATAGGTCTTGACTCTAATTTGCCAGCCTCTGTCTTTTAATTGGGGCATTTAGCCCATTTATATTTAAGGTTAATATTTTTATATGTGAATTTGATCCTGTCATTATGATGCTAGCTGGTTGTTTTGAGCTGGGCTGAGTTCTTATCAGGAAGTGCAGAGGACGAATCCTCTTCCAAGCTCATTCATGTTGTCGGCAGAATTCAGCTCATTTTAGCTGTTGGGCGGAGATCCCTGCTTCTTTGCTGTCGGACAACAAAGAGCCGTGTTTCGCCCTGGGGGCCATCCACATTCCCTACCATGCTGCCCCTCTATCTTCAAACACAGAAAATGTCCTGCAAGTAAGCCCCAACACTTTTTCTCTCTGACTTCTTGTCCCTGACCTCTAGACCCAGATTTAATGGGCTCATACGATTAGGTGAGGCTCCCCTGGATAATCTTCCCTTTGTCTAACTCAGTGTTAGCCAACTCTGGGTAACCTGAGTTACATCTGCAAAATCCCTTTTGCTAGGTCATATCACATAGCCACAGGAATAACAGCTCATCATGTTTGCAGGCCCCACAACAAAGGGAGAATTTACAGGAGTGTGGGTCATTAGGGGTCATCTTAGAGTTCTGCCTACCACACTGGCTTTAGAAAAAAATGGAAGGATACGGGAGCAGGAAGAAACACTTCTCTCCCTCAAAGAGCTGCTCCTTATGGGTTGAGGGGTCACCTTCCTGATGATGTGTGACCTGGGACTGAGTCACAGTACAGATGTATTTTGCTCTGTCACTCAGGTCATGTCTACTTTGTGAAGTAACGCTGGTATGCTCAAAACCTAGTTTGAAGACCAGCTCCATCTGCCTTATAAGGAGTGGCAATTCATTGGAATCTGATATCAGGTTATTTTTGACACTGAGTTTTCAATGTTATGGAGAGTTTTCATGTTTTGCTTTCTGTTTAATGAAAAGTTGGGATCAAGAATATTGAAGATTGCAAGCCAGGTGTCACATTAAAGTTGAAGCCTTTCTAATTTTTGAACGTTGAGCACTTTGGTTATTCGTGGTTTTATATGTTTTATCTATCGCTGCAGTTTTCTATTTTGACTTGAATTGGAGGTGGAGAGGTAGAGCTCTACCATCCCAGTGTGTCATCTGATTTCCCAGACCAGAGTCCAGCCTTTCCTGTGCTTGCCTGGCTTCCCCTCCATGTTGCTCCCTACCCCACCATCTATACCCTTCACATCCAAAATCCAAAACCTCACACTCACACGAGAATCCCTATTACGGTCGGTTTATATTTACACACTAAAAATATCCAATTTTCAATTTGTTGTGCTTATAAAGGAATACCAGGAACACCTTAAAGTTATAATTGTATTTATTAGCATCTATTTTAGGTCAGTCTAGGGGCGTGATGGAAAGAGTCCACATAGACTCCAGAGAGATGGGCAGGGGTTACTGCTCAGCCTTGAACATTCCTCCTTCCGCACAAGGGTGGGCTCTTGCACAAATGATTTCATGGGCCCCTAAGTTTTAAAGAAAAAATAAGTGTTTTCTCATTTTAAAAAAGGCAACTTTGATGTTAAAATATGTCAAGAAGAGTCCTGGATAATGTTTAAATATATTTATGGGCTCAGATGGGGTTAAGGTAGAGCCGACTGTTAGTCTGTTGAAGTATTTGTTTCCCGGCTCTTGAAAAACATGGGTTCTTAGATCCAACCTGAGAATCATAGATATGTGCATATCACAGGGAGGGCGGAAAGGTTCGCTGTCTGTTTATACACTTGCCAGTCATCCTTTTAATCTCTGTCAAATTATCTGCTTAAACTCCTATGAATTTTTGTATGCCATCTTTTTGAAATAGTAAATCACTTTATTAGGTTTTTAAAAGAGCATTCATAATGTCATTTCCATGAGCCATTTTGTAAATTAATGCAATTTCCTTTCTGTTTAACCTGTTTGCAAGAAGCTATTTTACATTTCTGCTGTAATTCAGAAAAAAAGTGCAGTTAATTCGTAATTGAATTTGCAGCCTGATAGGTAAAATGAATGCTTTTGACTCATTTTGATTATTATAGATACTAAAGCTGCATTTATTCTTGAGATTCATGAATGTGTGTGTTGCTTTCGTTCCCAGCCCTGGGATCCCGACACAGGCCAGACCTGGTGCCTAGCACTCCATCGCTGTTTGAAGCTGCTTCCTTGGCGACCACAATTTCATCTTCTTCCTTATACGTCAACGAGCACTATCCACACGACAGGCCTACACTCTATTCAAACAGGTAATACTTAGTGCAGTCAAATAACCCATCAGGCTGTTACCACGTCAACATCAGGCCTGAACCAGTGTCTCTGAATGAGAACACGTCTCTAGCAACCAGCATGTGCCTGTCATCTGCCTCGTAAGTCGGAGAGAGAGCATGCTTGATTTTTGCTGTGGCAAAAGAACATTGGAGGGAAAACCCTCATGATCTTTCTTTACAGTTGATCATTATGTCATGTAGAAATTATATACTTGGCTCAATGGAAGAAGACAAATCTTTCATCTTTTTTATTTTGGTAAATTTTTTAGGAATGGATTTCTTCAGAGTGAGTACTCTTAGTTAATATTACACAGGTAGCTGCAAAGATATTGTAATATTCTCTTTTGGTATGTGTGATCTTAGGGACTATGGTAAACAGAATAATGCCCACCCCCCCAAAGCTGTCCACATCCTAATTCCGTCACCTGTGAATATGTTACCTTATATGACAAAAGGGACTTTGCAAATGGGATTAAAGATCCTGAAATGGGAGGAGTATCCTGAATTATCCAGATAGGCGCAATATAATCACAGGGTTCTTGTAAGGGGAAGACAGAAGAAGAAGGGTCAGAGTCAGAGAAGGAGACACAACATCAGAAGCAGAAGTCAGGATACCCCATTTGCCCTGATATGATTATTATTCATTGCATGCCTGTATCAAAATATTTCATGTAACCTATAAGATTTTTGGAAATTGTATGCTCTCTAGCAACTTTGTATGAATTTTTATATAAGCACCATTTTATGAGTTCTATAAAATGTTATAAAAATAGAAAATTTTAAAAAATAAGTAAAAAAATAATTATTTGCTAAATATTAGAGTAGTTATTGTTGAAACCTAGCTCTCAAGAATCAAGATCAGATTTATGCAAGTGAAGAATTTCTTATGCTTTAAGTTACTTTCTATCTCCAGGATAGCAGTTTGGTTGATTTCCAGGAAGAGGAGTCAATAAAGTAGATTTATTTTTAATATATGGATATCCATAGAGTCTAGCTTAGTCTTTTGGCAAGTTAAAGTTTGCTAGTCGGACCTGCTATAGTAATTCTTTTTTGTTGCTGTTTCCTCCTCTCTCAGCTAGATACAAGATTAGGTAGGCAGCAGGTTAGGCAGCCAGTCTAGGTCCAGAAAAGTGGAACCAGTGGGTAGCAAAGTGAGCCACAAATCTTAGCTGGGCCTGAGTTTGCATTGTTCTGCTCTAAGGGTCAACAAATAAGGCCCTATTAAAAATTATTTAACTCATCTAAACTATACAAAGTTACTGATTTGGTCAGTTTCCTTCGATTGGAGAAATTTAAAATGACTTAATGTGTAATACTTAATGTTAATGTCAAATGTTTAAATCTGGTATGTAAATTAGTCAAGCAACAGCCTTTCCTGTCTATCTGGTGCAGCTGAACACGTGGGTCTATATAAAGTTCTTTTGCTCTCGAATATAAATAGCAGCCCAAAAGATAGCTGGAAAGTTGCAGGAAGTTCTTAGCAAGGTCAAAAGCAATTCTCATGTGAAGCCATGGTGATTTCTTACAGTTTGCTGTCATGGTAATTATTGGGGCATATAATCAGATGTGCTCTTAAATCATTTACTGAGATTTTCAGCCAACAATAAAAGGGTTTGGTTTGGTTTTGTGTTTTGGTAGCAGTGGTGGTGGTGGTGGTGGTGGTAGGTAAGTATCCAGTCTCTTGACCAGAGGTATTCGACTCTTGGGTATTCATAAGGTTTTCCTGGGGCCTGGCAGGGCCTCCTCCTGACTCCCAATCATTCCTGGCCATCCTGGAAGCTACCTCTGCATGCTCCACCTCCACATGCTCCCAGAACTGTGCTGTCACTCTCGATACTTTTATTTATGCCGATACTGACTAGCATATAGATTTGGAAGGGGAAAATAAAAAATGAGTTATCTATAATATTCTTCCTTTCTTTTAAATATTTATTTAAAACAAGTGCATTGTTTTAATCTTCTTTGGCACTGTATCTCCAAATTGCAGTTTGATATTTTATATATCACTATCAATCAAGGTTCACCTGCAAGAACAAGAAACCACTTCATCTTAACCAGAAAGGAATTTAATCTAGATAATTGGGTGCCTACAAAGTCTGTGGAAAGGCAGTGGGCATGGGCTCCAGGCTGGCACCAGGAAATTCATCCTGGAACACGCCACCAAACTGGGCCACCAGCAGCACTATAGCAGGAACCACAGTCAAGTTGGTGCCTGCCAATGAGATACAGCCCAGACAGAAGCATTTCAGCGAGCCTAGAATGTTTTTTCAATGAGCCACCCTTTAAAAACCAAACAACTTCGCTAAAATACCCAGATTCTTTTGCAAAATCAGGATCTTGGTCACATATAATTTTGGCTCTGTTTCCTCCTGGCATTTATCAGCTGGAGGGGAAAATCTTGCACCCCCTAGGTCACCACCCTCTGCCTCATTCATCTGTGCTGTCACCTACCTGCTCCTGTAGGTATGTCTGCTTTTAGCCTTGATGTGCACAAGAAGGTAATAGAAGGGCCTCGGGTCTTAATCACGGACTTAGGGAAATCTTAAGGAAAAGAGGCATAAAGGTGCTAAAAAAAAAAAAAAAAAAAAAAAAAACCCTGAAGACAACAGTTTGAGAACTCCCGGGCGTCAATATCCCTATTTCCCTGACCCACTGTGCCCAACCCTCATTATTCAACTGGCAAACTTCACCAGCAAACCAAAAAAAAAAAAAAAAATTTCATATTTTTGTTTCTATCATTTTTTCCTTTAGAGCCCACCTAGTCCTACATGGTGTTTCTTTAGGCAATAAATAGACACTATTCTAAATCTCATCTGGCCAACTGAGTTTCAAAACCTAATCCAGAGAGCCTGGAAAGAAAATGCATTGAAAAGAAAAAAAAGAAAAGAAAAAAATGTTGAATATTGATGTTATAATTTACATGTGAGATTTTTCTCTTTATGAATCATTTTTCTGTTCAGGCAAAGTGGTCTGTTTTCCAATTTTGACGTTATATTATACATATCTATGCTAAAATAAGCTGCAAATACTTCAACTAGCAGTTGTCATTCTGTCAGTCTTTTTAGAATCCGTAAGTTGGCAAGGTATTGATTAGTGCCTGGATGCCTCCACACCTAAATTATATACTGCAGTGGGAAATCGCTGTCTCTTAGAATTATTCCTTTTTTAAAAAAGATTATTCTTTGTAACTTCAAAAACTCTTAATAGTAACCCATTCTTTTTTTCATGTACTCCAAAAATTCGCTAGGAAGGAAAGAAAAAAATAGTATCATCTTAAAAGTATGTATCTAACCTACTGATTGGGAGTGCACATTTTCAAGTTGCACTGTGCAGTCTTGTGTTAGAGCATGCAGATCCTAGGAATAAAGAGAAACTGTCATGGGCATTGCTTCCCGGTCATCTAGTGAGATTTGAGTTCTGAATTTTTGAAACTTGCATTTTTCTTTACTAGTAAGAAGTCTGTTCTTTTAAAAGAGGTATAAATTGAGCACTAAGAAGTACGGAGGCATGTTTTACCTCAAAGTTAAGAAAAATTTCATTTAATATTGTAGAAATAGGTTACACATACGAATATTTTCATGATTTCCTGCATAGCTGGTAGCAAAGCCAAAGCTCTGGTTATGCATAAGGAATTGAAAGTCACACTTCATTCCAGTGCATCTATGCTTTCCCCATCAAAGATGTCTTACCAGTGTCACCACTCTATCCAGTCTCAGGTTTGGCTAGTGGCTATTTCTAACACTTGGGCTCACCCTGCAGACATTTGCAGTATTGTGAGAAGGGCAAAAATGTCAGAGAAAAAGCCACTGGTCATTTGTACATAGAGGGCAAATTGGTAAAGGCTCCTTAAATGATGAGTCCAACATTCTAGATCTCAGAGGCTAGCCCAGCAGATCGAACAGTCTTGTGCCCTCTTCTTCCTGCCATCACAGTGTTGTAGACCTAGAACAGGAGCGGAAACACTCTAACCAAAAGCCCTTCCCCACAAATTGCTTACCGCTAAGGTTTACAGACATGCAAGTAGAGCCATCCCAAAGGTTAGAGATCTTTCTTTAGATTTGTCTGAAATATCAGAAAATGGAAATGTGGAAACCTTGTATGACATATCTGAGCGTGTTAGTAGGACTTCAGTTGAACACAGGTCTCTAGAGTCTAAGCCTCTTGTCTTTTCCACTGTACCATTCCTGCATCACGGCCTCCAAATACATATTAGGTTGGCTGGTTGGTTGGTTTTTTTCCTAACATGAGTTCTGGTCCTGTGTTTGAGACTTTTTTTTTTTTTTTTTTTTTTTTTTTTTGCTGCTTAATAACTAAAATATTTCTAGCAGGCAAAGTGGTGGGTTTATGTTTTTGGTTTTTGGGGTTTTTTTGAGAGAGTCTCGCTCTGTGGCCCAGGCTGGAGTACAGTGGCGCCATCTCGGCTCACTGCAACCTCCGCCTCCAGGGTACAAGCGATTCCCCTGCCACAGCCTCCTGAGTAGCTGGGATTACAGACATCCGCCACCATGCCTGGCTAATTATTGTATTTTTAGTAGAGGCAAGGTTTCACTATGTTGGCCAGGCTGGTCTCGAACTCCTGACCTCAAGTGATCCACCCCCTCAGCCTCTCAAAGTGCTGGGATTACAGGTGTGAGCCACTGTGCCCAGCCAATGGGCTTATGTTAATGTCCACCTATAGTATTTGTTCTACCAGTTATTGGTGAATTTTGCTTATTAAAAACAGCATTGTGAGGGCAACTTTTCTATCATAATATTAATCCTGCTTCAAACCACCAATAATAATCTGATACAGTAGCAACTAATTATTGAACCTTATTAAGGGCCATGTTAAGCCTTACTTTGTACATGTCAAGTGATTTAATTCTCACAGCAATTCTATAAAGTTATTATATCTATGGTCTCCATCTTACACATGAGGAAATTGATGCTTAGCAACATTAGGTAACTTTCTCAAGGCCACATGACTAAAAAGTGGAGGC